TCCGTGTAATTGCTACCATCATCTTTCAACTTTGCTTTCTCAAGGAACGCATTAAAATTCAATGGAACAACAGCACGATCCATCTATCTACAATCAAGCATAAACAAGCAAGATACTATCAGGTACTAAGTTTCATGATAAATTTAGGTTCATTTAATTTACTTAAATAACTCCCACTTAGATAGACATCCCTCTAATCCTCTAAGTGATTACGTGATCCAAATCAACTAAACCATGTCCGATCATCACGTGAGATGGAGTAGTTTCATTGGTGAACATCACTATGTTGATCATATCTACTATATGATTCACGCTCGACCTTTCGGTCTCCGTGTTCCGAGACCATATCTGTATATGCTTGGCTCGTCAAGTATAACCTGAGTATTCCGCGTGTGCAACTGTTTTGCACCTGTTGTATTTGAACATAGAGCCTATCACACTCGATCATCACGTGGTGTCTCAGCACGAAGAACTTTTGCAACGGTGCATACTCAGGGAGAACACTTCTTGATAATTAGTGAGAGATCATCTTATAATGCTACCGTCAACCAAAGCAAGATAAGATGCATAAAAGATAAACATCACATGCAATCAATATAAGTGATATGATATGGCCATCATCATCTTGTGCTTGTGATCTCCATCTTCGAAGCACCGTCGTGATCACCATCGTCACCGGCGCGACACCTTGATCTCCATCGTAGCATCGTTGTCGTCTCGCCAATCTTATGCTTCCACGACTATCGCTACTGCTTAGTGATAAAGTAAAGCATTACAGCACGATTGCATTGCATACAATAAAGCGACAACCATATGGCTCCTGCCAGTTGCCGATAACTCGGTTACAAAACATGATCATCTCATACAATAAAATTTAGCATCATGTCTTGACCATATCACATCACAACATGCCCTGCAAAAACAAGTTAGACGTCCTCTACTTTGTTTGTTGCAAGTTTTACGTGGCTGCTACGGGCTTAAGTAAGAACCAATCTTACCTACGCATGAAAACCACAACGATAGTTTGTCAAGTTGGTGCTGTTTTAACCTTCACAAGGACCGGGCGTAGCCACACTCGGTTCAACTAAAGTTGGAGAAACTGTCACCCGCAAGCCACCTATGTGCAAAGCACGTTGGGAGAACCGGTCTCGCGTAAGCGTACGCGTAATGTCGGTCCGGGCCGCTTCATCCAACAATACCGCCGAACCAAAGTATGACATGCTGGTAAGCAGTATGACTTATATCGCCCACAACTCACTTGTGTTCTACTCGTGCATATAACATCAACATATAAAACCTAGGCTCGGATGCCACTGTTGGGGAACGTAGTAATTTCAAAAAAATTCCTACGCACACGCAAGATCATGGTGATGCATAGCAACGAGAGGAGGAGAGTGTGATCTACGTACCCTTGTAGATCGACAACGGAAGCGTTAACTTTGGTTGATGTAGTCGTACGTCTCCACGGCCCGACCGATCAAGCACCGAAACTACGGCACCTCCGAGTTTTAGCACACGTTCAGCTCGATGACGATCCCCGGACTCCGATCCAGCAAAGTGTCGGGGAAGAGTTCCGTCAGCACGACGGCGTGGTGACGATCTTGATGTACTATCGTCGCAGGGCTTCGCCTAAGCACCGCTACAATATTATCGAGGATTATGGTGGAAGGGGGCACCGCACACGGCTAAGAATATGATCACGTGGATCAACTTGTGTGTCTAGGGGTGCCCCCTGCCCCCGTATATAAAGGATCAAGGGGAGGAGGCCGGCCGGCCCCTATGGCGCGCCAAGGAGGAGTCCTCCTCCTAGTAGGAGTAGGACTCCTACTAGAGGGGGAAAGAAGTGGGGAGGGAGAAGGAAAGGGGGGCGCCGCCCCCCCTCTCCTAGTCCAATTCGGACCAGGGGGAGGAGGCGCGCGGCCCACCTTTGGCTGCCCCTCTCTCTCTCCACTAAGGCCCATATGGCCCATTACTTCTCCCGGGGGGTTCCGGTAACCCTCCGGCTCTCCAGTTTTCTCCGAAATCACCCGGAACACTTCTGGTGTCTGAATATAGTCGTCCAATATATCAATCTTTATGTCTCGACCATTTCGAGACTCCTCGTCATGTCCGTGATCAGATCCGGGACTCCGAACTAACTTCGGTACATCAAAACTCATAAACTCATAATATAACTGTCATCAAAACCTTAAGCGTGCGGACCCTACGGGTTTGAGAACAATGTAGACATGACCGAGACACGTCTCCGGTCAATAACCAATAGCGGAACCTGGATGCTCATATTGGCTCCTACATATTCTACGAAGATCTTTATTGGTCAGACCGCATAACAACATATGTTGTTCCCTTTGTCATCTGTATGTTACTTGCCCGAGATTCGATCGTCGGTATCTCAATACCTAGTTCAATCTCGTTACCGGCAAGTATCTTTACTCGTTCCGTAATACATCATCTCGCAACTAACTCATTAGTTGCAATGCTTGCAAGGCTTATGTGATGTGCATTACCAAGAGGGCCCAGAGATACCTCTCCGACAATCGGAGTGACAAATCCTAATCTCGAAATACGCCAACCCAACATGTACCTTTGGAGACACCTGTAGAGTACCTTTATAATCACCCATTTACATTGTGACGTTTGGTAGCACACAAAGTGTTCCTCCGGCAAACGGGAGTTGCATAATCTCATAGTCATAGGAACATGTATAAGTCATGAAGAAAGCAATAGCAACATACTAAACGATCGGGTGCTAAGCTAATGGAATGGGTCATGTCAATCAGATCATTCACCTAATGATGTGATCCCGTTAATCAAATAACAACTCTTTGTTCATGGTTAGGAAACATAATCATCTTTGATTAACGAGCTAGCCAAGTAGAGGCATACTAGTGACACTCCGTTTGTCTATGTATTCACACATGTATTATGTTTTCGGTTAATACAATTCTAGCATGAATAATAAACATTTATCATGATATGAGGAAATAAATAATAACTTTATTATTGCCTCTAGGGCATATTTCCTTCACAATCTTGCGGTGTCCTTTCCCAGTGACAGCAGGGGCAACAAGGCATGTATTGTATTGTTGCCATCGAGGATAAAAATATGGGGTTTATATCATATTGCTTGAGTTTATTCCTCTACATCATGTCATCTTGCCTAATGCGTTACTCTGTTCTTATGAACTTAATACTCTAGATGCATGCTGGATAGCGGTCGATGTGTGGAGTAATAGTAGTAGATGCAGAATCGTTTCGGTCTACTTGTCGCGGACGTGAAGCCTATATACATGATCATGCCTAGATATTCTCATAATTATGCACTTTTCTATCAATTGCTTGACAGTAATTTTTTTACCCACCGTAATACTTATGCTATTTTGAGAGAAGCCATTAGTGAAACCTATGACCCCCGGGTCTATTTTCCATCATATAAGTTTCCAATCTATTTTACTTTGCAATCTTTACTTTCAATCTATATCTAAAAAATACCAAAAATATTTATCTTATTATTTCTATCAGATCTCACTTTTGCAAGTGGTCGTGAAGGTATTGACAACCCCTTTATCGCGTTCGTTGCAAGGTTCTTATTTGTTTGTGTAGGTGCGAGACGACTTTGTGTGTAGTCTCCTACTGGATTGATATCTTGGTTTTCAAAAACTGAGGAAAATACTTATGCTACTTTGCTGCATCACCTTTTCCTCTTCAAGGGAAAACCAATGCAGTGCTCAAGAGGTAGCAAACATCATGAACAATATAGCAAATGCATTTAACCCTAACCCACTTCTGATGCATAGGAATTTTACAAGAAAACAATTCATTGAAGAACAAGGTAACTAGCATAGGAAGGCATAACAAGTGCAACTGCAAAAGTTTCAACACATAGAGAGGAAACTTAGTATTATTGAGATATCCATAAGCATATATTCCTCCATCATAATAATTTTCAGTAGCATCATGAATAAATTCAACAACATAATTATCACATAAAACATTCTTTTTATGATTCACAAGCATAGAATTTTTATTACTCTTCGCATAAGCAAATTTTTCTCATTCATAATAGTGAAAGTAGCATATATAACTTGAACACTACAAATCGATTCTACATTAAAATAATTTAGTGAAATGATATTCATGATTATGATAAGCTTCACAAGAATAATTATCACTACACTACTTATAGCGTAAGTGCTATCAACAGTCATCATAAGTATCAATTTTGGTCTCATCATAATCAATTGAAACCTCTTCCAAAATAGTGAAATCATCACTAATTAGAGTTATGACCTCTCAAATCTAGTTTTATCATTATAATAAGATCCAACACCCTCATTTTCGCAAAAAAACTGACAACCATGGCTTAATCCTCCCCATTCTTCCAAACCTCCTTTCCTATCTCTTCTCTTCCCCCAATTCTTCGTCTAATTTTAGATCTTCTTTTATTAATAATGTTTTTGGTACTCACAAATGCATGCAGGTTAGTATCAAATGTTAAGTGTGCAATTAACATCATATTAAATATCAAGGTCTATACTAATAGTAGCATAACTAACATATACTCTTTCCGTCCGGGATTGTTTATTGCAAAAGTGAATAGAAATGAATGTATTTAAAATTAAAATACGTCTAGATACATTTATTTCTCTGACAAGTTCTGAATGAAGGGAATAACTAATATCCTATCTGATACCGACATGTAATTAATTTTGTTTCTAATAGCACTATTAATGTTGTGTGCGTATTTATTAATACTTCCTTCGTTTCAAATTATTTGTCGTAGATATAGATATATCTAGATGTATTTTAGTTCTATATACATTCATTTTTACTACGAGTAATTTGGAACGGACGGAAGTATGAAGAAAGGACATTTTGGCGAGAGCAAAGGTCGGCTTTGGGGATTTTCCATGGAGAAGGGGGAAGTAGTACGCCGTACCAAGCTCGGTCCAGCCGCCGGCGGCGGCGGAGGACGAGGAGGAGGAGCACGCCGTCCCAAGATGGGTCCAGGCGGCGGAGGAGCCGACCTCATCAGCGCCCTCCCGGAGGATCTGCTTCTCCAGGTCCTCGGGTGCCTCCGATGCGCCCGCGCCGCCGCGCGCACCAGCATCCTCTCCCGCCGGTGGCGCGGCCTCTGGACCCGCCTCCCCGACCTCGTCTTCCGCGGCGTCGCGCTCCGCTCCCTCCAAGCGGCGCTCGCCTCGGTCCAAGCCGCGGCCGGCCCCGTGGGGGTGACCCTCCTCGACATGTGCGTTCCCGACGCGCTCCTACACTCCGTCCGCGAGTACGACATGCCCCCGCTGCTCCACGCCGCCGCGGCGCTCTCGCCGGTGGACCTCCGCCTCGCCGTGGGGGAGGGCACGCAGCGCCTGTACGTGCAGGTGGAGGTGCCCCGCCTCCCCCGCGCCATCTCGGTGGAGCTTCAAGGCCTGGATCTCGTGTTCGCCGACCCGCGCCGCAGCTGGCTGGGGTTCCCCGCGCTGGAGACGCTCTCCCTCACCGGCTGCCGCGCCTGCGCGTCTTCAGACTCAGGGAGGACCACGGCGCCCACCACATGAACATCATCATCAGGTCCTCGTCGCTGCAGGAGCTCCATGTGGACACCAGGATCCCCTTCACCTACCGCATCGACATCAGGGCGCCCGCGCTCAAGCGATTGGCCATGTCCTTCAGCACCAGCGACAAGATCATTGTGCTGGTGTCCGTTTTGGCGCCAATGCTGGAGACGGTCTCATGGCGCTGCACCTATTCCACAGTGTCTGCCCGGTTTGGTCTTTGGGGCCTCTCAGAGGTGAGGTTACAGACGGAGGAGAACAATGGACATGGCGGGCAGCTTCCTCCTCACGTCAATGTCCTGTCGCTCTTCGTGGCTGCAGATGTATGTCACTCGATTCGTCGATTCGCCAACTAAACTGAAAAATTATTTATTTATGATGTCCCGCCGAATTGGTTTTGTAGGATTCATATGAGTTTCCAGAGGAAGTCAGCCTTACGACGGAGATAGAGAAACATATGGTTACCCATTTCTCTGTTTTGGAGCTACGTATCGAAACGTGGGGGCATGTTTTTGGAGCATTTGCATTGCACATCCTTGAAATGGATCAGATTTCCACTGCTATACAAAGCCTTAAAGTCATCCTGCTGAGTTCAGAGGTAGGAAATTCATCCATGTGCTTGTATATTTATGGTGTATTCCCTCTGTAAACTAATAAAGATCATTTAGTGATTTAAACAATCTTATGCTGTATTAGTTTACAGACGGAGCAGTATATAGTATTTGCTCTCTCAATAAAAAGTTTCCAACCGTCAAGCATCTATCTATAATATGTATACATTGTACTAGTAATTTTCATGTTATTATTTTTAGGATGATGAAGCATGCCCACAAAATTGCCCTTGTGAGGAGCCCAGTAACTGGCGAAGCCAAACTATCTCCTTGACCAATCTTGAAAAAGTGGAAATCAAAGGCTTCCAAGGAGAAGGTCATGAGTTTGATTTCTTGAAACTGGTATTTAGATGCGCACCAATGCTGAAAACAATGTCTGTGAGGCTGTCAGATGAGGTCACAGCAAGTAACGACGATTGCTGCAAGAAAATACATGACGTCTTCAAGATGTATCCTTTTGTGGAATGCAATGTGATTGTGGATCTTAGTCCTGGTAAGTAGATTTGGAATGCAAGATTAGCATTCTTCTAAATTCATGCTTGGTGTATATATTCTGCTCTGAAACTCTTATTTACCTGTTTTATTTTGTTAGCGCCTTTCATGTTGTGCGAGTTCATACGATGCTTCCAAAGTGTCGTTGACATGCTGATTGTTCATTTCAGGCCAGCTTAGTTTTAGCTTGCTCTTGCTCTTTAATCTTTTTGTTTGCTGCAGAAATGTCCATTGTGATGGTCCTATGTTTTGGCAATGTGTTTGCCTTGGAGGAGTAGACCCTTAAATCTATATTCATCCATGCTATCAGATGATTTGTTGTTTGTCTAGGCCACTGAAAATTTTGGTTTTGACCCCAATAAATGTCTGAACATGCTATGTTAGTGATGTTTTTTCTTTAAGAGAATATTGCTTCTGAATTTGTGTCCATACAGTTTATTTCATGCAAAATGACAGGTGCTTAATGATGAAATTGGAGATAAGAAGTATTGTAACTTTCTAGTCTATGCATGCATCTTTTTGTTATTGGCAATATTCTTTATTCGTCGCACTCTGGTTTTGGACCACTAGGATTCAGTAGCCAATAAAGAATTTTCTGGATTGGCTGAAGTTATGTGTCTTAGTATTAGATTTCTATGTAGGCCTAGAGAGAAAATTTAGAAGTATTCTCAAACAGGCATATGAAAAGAGATTGACAGCTCTTCATTGTTTTAAGTTATTTTAAACTGCTTCAGATATTTATGTGATTAGTAAAAAAATAAGAAGTTATAGTTATATTTTGTTGAACAAGTTCTTGGTTGTTGTTTTCTCCATGCTGTCACTACTTTATGATTTTAGTTGCTATGGACAACAATCTCTATACATACAACGGCACTACGTTTCCATACCGAGGAGCTGACTGAAACTGGTGTTGATTCACCTTGTTCGCACGCAGAGTCAACAGACAGCAGCCATGGTGGTGCCTCGACATGATCCTCAGTTGCCACATTTGCCGAATCAGGTGGGTTGTCAAAGAGACCGTCTTCTACCGTGCTGGCTGACTCCACTAGCTACCTAGTTCCAGGATTTTGCTTGGTGGCTTGATATGTTATTTTGCTATTGCAGTGGAGCCACAGGCACGAAATGTTGCGCTCTTAGTTAATGCATTAGCGGTAGCCATTGCCTGATTGCGTAGCAATTACCAGATTTAGTGGACTCAACTTATGTCAGCCTGCCCAAGTGATGTTCTGTAAGCCTATTATGGCTTGTATGCTTTTCTTGGCCAGCATGTTCCTGATTAGCTAACTCGGTATGGCACTACATGGTCGTTTAAGGCATCACTGCTTAAAATGTTGGAAGGAAAAATGAAGTTGCATACTACACTAAAACATCTGGCGCACAACTGCGTTGTCAAGTGTTGTGGAAATGGGTAGCACCTACAGTGGCCAGAGCTTTTCATGACGCCGTCGCCTCATTGTGGCCTCAACTGGGTGTGATGAAGCCTGTTGGAGTTGAGTTTGTGCTTTGGTTCATTTGATGCTCTGTACCATCCTAATCAAACTAGCCTCAGATTCAAACTGCAGCAATCTGGAATAGTTTCTGTGCATTCCGGATGGGTTGATCCCATGGTTGTCTGAATTTTATGTAGTATGAAAAGGTTTGTGACATTCCCATATGAAAAAGATTTGCTGTTCTTGCTAAGGAAATTGTGTCCTTGAGATCTTTGGTTCGGTTACAACAGTGAACCAGCTTTACAAATAACCATTCGTTGTTGTAAAGCTGGTTTCCTGCCACTGAATATGAGTTACAAACAGTGAGCCAGCTTTACAGATGATTCAAGAATAAATTACAGTAGCAAGCAATGTTGTAGCCATAGCTTGTCAAATTTTCTCAGATACACCAATGCATGGTTCCAAACACGGTCTCAATCAAACAAAATTATACGTACATGAAGATAACACATGCATTCAGATACAATCTGAGATATTTGGTCCAGTTACATTATGCCAACACTATCATTTCATTTGAATATCTGGCTCTAGAGATAAATCCATACATCTCCAGCGTTGCTCATTCTATCATACTGTCCATTGAGAGCTTCAAAATTCGGGACAAAATAGACAAAGATAAAAACTGAATGTCGTTTGGACACGTGGGCAACAACACATACCATGTTCTTGGAAGCTCAAGACATGTACTATCACTTGAGAATACAAATGGTACGATATATAACAGACGACACACATTATATTAAGTCCAAGGGGAGCATCTAATAGTCCAAACTGTCTGTCAGTAAATGGTCATGCCTCATTGTGTGTCTTCAGAAGCCACATAATTGGGCATCTAATCTACTAGAGGCATTGCCCATTGGTAGACATCCAGCGGGTCTTCCCCATGGCCGTGAAGCTGAAGGCGCTGTCGTTGCACCCACAGCAAAGAAGAGATCTCCTGCATGTTCTCTGTCAACCACAGCTGTTGCAAGCTTGCCAGTGCCTCGACACGCCTCAATGTCCGGCAATCATTTATGCGTAGCTCCCTCAGTCGAGGAAGGTTCGAGAGCCTCTCCAGGACTTGACATCCCGAGATCAAGAAGCTCTCCACTGCCTTCAAGCAACTTGCTCCAATAATAAAGAGCTCTTTCAGGTTGGTGGCCTCCGGTCCAAGCTGTCGTGGGAGAGCTCTTAGCTTGGGGCAGCCAAGAAGCTCCAACCTCTTCAGGCATGGCAGCAGCTGCATCGGGGGATACATCTTGTAGCTGCTGTAGCTGCTGCCATTAGCAGCAGCTGCATCGAGAGAGACATCATTGGTGGTCTCTCCCCCTTCTGTAGCTGCTGCCATTGCATCTTCTTCTTCAACAAAGGACCACTCGCTCCAGTTGGGCATGTCTTTGATGACGAGGTATTCGAGCTTGGGGAAGGCAACTGCCTCCATGGATTCTATGGGATTAGCCTCCCCGCATCCAACAAATTCGGGTCCGATCTTGGTAATTGCGGTTGCTCCAACAATTTTCAGATATCTCAGGCTGGCTAGTTGCCAATTTGCTGGAAGATGCGCACAGTATTTGCAGTCGATAAGGTTCAAATATGTTGTCCAAGACAAATGGATACTGGTACCAAGCCAGTTGGGATACCCTCGACCAAAGAATTTAACAATAATAAGCTTTTCCAAGTTGAGTGGAGGGATTAGCTGCTCAAAAATCTTCTCAATATTGCTGATATCATCTGAATTTGGTTCTTCTTTACGTTGACTGCACCTAAGATTCAGATATTTGAGATACTTTTTGTCCCTGCCAAATTGGATTAGTTGCAGGATGACCACTGCAGGGACCCGGTTGCTTTCTTTCAAAAAATACAGGGACCCGATTGCTTTTATACCACGGTAGTTAACATTCAAACAATCAGAGCTCTTACACGCGGGCCCGATGTGTCAGAATTGCGATCAATTATAGAACACCCCGGTCACTTAGGTTTTTTGAAACAGTCGACGCTGATTCTGGTAGTTATCAGTGACAAACAAAAATTTGATAGTTTTTTTAAACCCTAACACGAAAAGTGGTAGTTTTATGCTATTCACTCGCCTTGTGAGTGACCAGTAGAGGAGTCCAAATTCATTTGGGCACTCGGAAGGACTTGGCGTCGATAGGAGAACAACGTTGTTGTGACACTTGGACAGTATGATGTGTGGATTGTGCCCAAAGAAATGTTTGCTATACTATGCGTCTTAAATGCTGTTTGTTGAGCCAGATGCATATAACCAGTGAGCGTTGTGCTTCAAAGGAGCTTTTCGTACAGACTTATCTCTTTCTATACCTTCACTACTAAGTCATGGTTCTTTATGCCACTCAATTTGTGGTTAAATAGTTATATAGAAGGATCGTGACATCCCCAGCCCATCAAGATTACTTGGTTCTGGTATTTGTATTTTCTGAATTTATAGTAGGCTTTTCGGCAATATTTGTTCAACGGTAGGAGAAATTCCCTTCAACTACAAGGACGTATGTAGTTTGGTATCTCAGAGGCACTCATCGGGGTGAGTGTATGAGTGGGTTGTAGTCGTGTTTAATAAAAAAAGAATCACGGATCCTTGGTGATTAAGTTTCTGACATGCTGGATATTTGTAGCTGGTGCATTTACTTCCCGCCTACCTGAAAGCTACATGGCTTGATCCGAAGACACGGTTTTAAAGCTCACAAAGCGTAAGTGTACGATGTGGGGATTGATTTTCAGAGATGGATGTGGGAGCACCCGACCTCATCACCGCCCTCCCGGATGATATGCTTGTCGAGATCCTCGTCCGCCTCCGCTGCTCCCGCGCCGCCGCGCGCACCGGCGGCCTCTCCCGCTCGTGGCGCGGCCTCTGGACCCGCCTCCCCATCCACGTCTTCCGCGGCGTCGCGCTCGGCTCCGTCCAAGCGGCGCTCGCTTCGATCAAAGCCGAGGGCGGCCCCGGCGCGAGCGTGACGCTCCTCGACATCTCCGTTCCGGAGGCGTCCCTCTCCGAATCGGAGTTGAGAGAGCGCGTCCCCAAGCTGCTGGACGCCGCCGCGGAGCTCTCGCCGGTGGAGTTCCGCCTCGCCGTCTGGGAAAACACGCCGTTCAAGTACGTCAAAGTGGTCGTGCCCCGCTTCCCACGCGCCACCTCGGTGGAGCTGCAAGGGCTGGATCTCGCCTTCGCCGACCAGCCATGCAGCTGGCAGGGGTTCCCGGCGCTGGAGAGGCTCTCCCTCACGAGCTGCCGCGCCGTCCTCACCAACCTGCTGCGCCGCTGTCCGCGGCTGCGCGTGTTGAGGCTCAGGGATGATCTTCTTGTCTGTCAACACACAAACATCATCATCAAATCCTCGTCGCTGCAGGAGCTGGATGTGGAGAACAGGGTCCCCTTCCTGCACCGCATCCACATCCACGCACCTGCGCTCAAGCGATTGGCCATGTCCTTTGCCAGCAGCAACAACATCATTGTGTCGGTGTCCGTTTCGGCACCAGTGCTGGAGAAGGTCTCATGGCGCTGCAGGTATTCCACCGTGTCCACCGGGCTTGGTGTGTCTGTCGGCCTTGGCCCTTGGGGCCTCTTGTCTGTGAGATTACAGACGGCAGAGACCAATGGACAGGTTCATCCTCACGTCCATGTCCTGTCGCTGTTCGCTGCCGCCCATGTATGTCGCTCAATTTCTCAGATTCGCCAACTATAAGCTACTACGTACTCCCCCTGTAAAGAAATATAAGAGCGTTGTGATCTAGACGCTCTTATTTTCTTTACAGAGGGAGTAGCTGATATAACCGCCAAATTGTTTCTTGTAGACTTCATATAGATTTTCAGAGGGGCTCAACCTTACGACGGAGATAGAGAGACATATGGTTACCCTTTTCTCTGTGCTGGAGCTACACGTCCAAACGTTGGGGCATGTTTTTGGAGCATTTGCATTGCATATATTTGACATCGAACGGATCCGCACTAATACAGAAAGCCTTAAGGTCATCCTGATGAGATCAGAGGTAGGAGTAGTTAATTTATCCATGTGCTTGTATATTTATCCATGTGCTTGTATATATATAGTACTTGCTCTCTCAACAAAAAACTTGCCAACTATGAAGCATCTCTCTACTTATGATGTACTAGTATATATACACACATTAATTCTAGTAATTTTCATGTTGTTATTTTTAGGATAATGAAGCATGCCCAGAAAATTGCGCTTGTGAGCTGCCCAATAATAACTGGAGAAGCCAAACTATCTCCGGGACCATGACCAAACTTGAAAAGGTGGAAATCAAAGGATTCCAAGGAGAAGACCATGAGTTTGATTTCTTGAAGCTGATATTTAGCTGCGTACCAAATCTGAAAACAATGTCTGTGAGGCTGGCAGATGATATCGCGGAAAGCAACGATTGCTGCCAGAAAATACATGATGTCTTCAAGGCGTATTTCATGGAATGCAATGTGGATGTTCGTTCGCCTTGGTAAGCTGCCTTTGAAGATTGTCATCCTTCTGAATTCTGTTGAGCATGTTCTGCGTTGTTTTCCTCTATGCTGTCACTATGCTACTCCCTCCGTCCCAAAATAAGTGTCGTCGATTTGGTACAACAAAGTTAGTACAACTTCATACTAAATCTGCGACACTTATTTCGAGACATAGGGAGTATGATTTTATTTGCTGTGGACAGACATCTCTGTGGATACAATGACATTACATTTCCATACCGAGGTGCTGACTGAAATTGGTGTTGCTTTACCTCCTCCGCGTGCAGGGTCAATATGCAGCTGCCATAGTGGTGCGCCGACATGATGATCTTCATTGTCATGTTTACCAGTTCAGGGGCTCATCGAAGAGATCGTTCTATCCCGTGTCGACCAACTCCACTAGCTAGCTGGTTTCAGGATTTTGCTTGGTTGCTTCATGTTATTTTGCTAATAATGCAGTGTGGAATTGTTCATGGTGTCCAGTTCGTCAACTGAGTGCGACGAGTTGATCACATGGTTGTTGTCTGAATTTCATGTACTATGAAAAGGTTTGTGACATTCCCATATGAAACGGTTCTCATCTTCTTGCTCAGGAAATTGTGTCCTGAGATCTTTGGTTTATTTACAACAAGGAACAGTTATTTGTAAAACTGGTTCTCCGACACTGAATATTACATGAGTTATGAACAGTGAGCCGGCTTTCCACATGATTCAAGAATAAATTACAGTAGCAAGCAATGTTGTAGGCATAGCTTGTCAATTTTCCCAGATGCACCAATATTATGCACGGTCTCAATCAAACAAAATTATATACGAAGGTGACCCATGCATTCAGATACAATCTGAGATATTTGGTTCAGTTACATCATACCAACACCGCCATTTGAAAATTCAACTCTAGAGATAAACCCATACATCTCCAGCTTCAAAATTCGGGACAAAACAGACAAGAGAAAAACTGAATGTCGCTTGCACACAGAAACTGGCTACCACCAGCTTACACTTGAACACACACCGTATTCTTGGAAGCTCAAGACATCTACCATCACTTGAGAACACAAATGGCACGATAAAACAGAGCACGCACATTACCGAGTCGAAGCAGAGCATCTAATAATCCAAACTGTCTGTGCCTTGAGATGCCACCACAAATTGGGCATCTAATCTACTGAAGCCATTGGTAGACATCCAACGGGTCTTCCCCATGGCCGTGAAGCTGACGGCACTGTTGTTGCAGCCCTGGCACCCATAGTAAAGAAGAGATCTCCAGCGTATTCTCTGTCAACCACAGCTGCTGCAAGCTTGCCAGCCCGTCAACATGCCACAATTCTGGGAAATCATTTATACGTAGCTCCCTCAGTCGAGGAAGGTTCGAGACCCTCTCCAGGACTTGACATCCTGAGATCAAGACACTCTCCACGAAAGGGAGGTCCTCCACTGCCTTCAAGAAGCTTGCGCCAATAATAAAAAGCTCTTTCAGGTTGGTGACCTCCGGTCCAAGCTGTCGTGGGAGAGCTCTCAGCTTGGGGCAGCCAAGAAGCTCCAACCTCTTCAGGCATGGCAACAGCTGCATCGGGGGAGACATCGCAGTCACTCCCCCTTCCGTAGCTGCTGCCATTGCTTCTTCTTCTTCTTCAACAAAGGACCACTCGCTCCAGTCGGGCATATCTTTGATGACGAGGTATTCAAGCTTGGGGAAGGCAACTGCCTCCATGGATTCTATGGGATTAGCCTCCCCGCATCCAACAAATTCGGGTCCGATCTTGGTAATTGCGGTTGCTCCAACAATTTTCAGATATCTCAGGCTGGCTAGCTGCCAAATTGCTGGAAGATGCGCACAGTATTTGCAGTCGATAAGGTTCAAATATGTTGTTGAAGACAAATGGATAATGGTACCAAGCCAGGTGGGATACCTTCGACCAAAGAATTTAACAATAATAAGCTTTTCCAAGTTGAGTGGAGGGACTAGCTGCTCAAAAATCTTCTCAATATTGCTGATATCATCTGAATTTGGTTCTTCTTTACGTTGACTGCACCAAAGATTCAAAAATTCGAGATACTTTTTGCCTCCTAACAATGAAGAATTTGCCGTACTAGGAGCTGCTCTTTCCAATTTGATCATGTGAAGCTGCCTTAGCTGCCAAAGATGCCCTAACTCTTCCAACTTCCATCCATCTTGTGTATTAGCGTCATCACTTGTACCACCAATAGGAAATCCTTCCAGATCATTGAGGAATTCTAGTTTACCTATCCCTTTTGGCACCTGATTTATCGGTGTACCACCTAGACCAAGGCGCCTTAAATTGCACAATTGTGTGATCGAAGAAGGAAGGCTGTGCAGAGCTTTGCACCTTTGCAAGTTCAGTATCTGAAGGTTTGTCAAAGAACCGATTGACTCTGGAAGACAAGATATGGCTGTCTCATCTAGATCAAGAAGTCGTAGATGGATCAAACCACCAACACAATCTGGAATGCTTTTTATAGATGAACCAGTCAGATCTAAAACTCTGATGCATGGTAGCCTCTTGAAAATTGTATTTTCAACACTCAATTTCTTAGTAGAATGAATTAACAGTGTCCTTGCTCTAATCTTCTCTTTGTCCACATTGGGGAGCATTAAAGAATCTTTGTCAGTGACAACTGAAACACGGCGTAGCTTGGACAGAGTTGTAACCTGTAATGATTGTGGGTCACCACAATAATTTTCGTCTCTTGAAAAGTGTTGAGCAAGTTGCCTCAAGAGATCATGCATTTTGCACATGCTACGGTCAAAACGCAAAGGGTCTAGTTGCAGTAGATTCCTATACATCAACTCATAGTAATATTCTTCAGCTGTATCTTCCAGAAGTTGTTCTTTATGCTCCTCAACAAAGCCTTCAGCAATCCAAAGCCTGATAAGATCATCACGGTACATGTACTGATCTTCTGGATATAAGGTCAAATAGGGGAAGCATTGCTTCAAATGCCGTGGCAGATCATCGTAACTCAAATACAGAGCACCTCTGAGCTCGATTGGAAGATTGCACATAGACCATGCACTTCTCTCCATAATCTTTCTCCACTCATTCTGAGTTCTCTCTTTAGTTGCTAGAACACTAGCAGTAACTTTGATTGCAAGGGGAAGTCCGCCACATTTACACACAATTTCCAAGCCTATATGCCGAAGGTTTTGCACATCATTTTCTTGATTAATGTTCATACTCTTCCAGAGCAGTTCCCATCCTACATCTAATGCCATCAACTCAACTCGATGCACATCCTCCACCCCAATTACATGTGCAACTGTATCATGTCGAGTGGTTACTAGAATTACTCCGGTTGCAGCAGCATGTAATGGAACTCTCAGCAGATTGGTCCACACCTGAGGCTGCCAAACATCATCTAGCACAAGAAAGAAACTTTTTCCTCGAATGGCCTCTGCAAGCTTGCTGCTGAGCTCTCCCACACTTTCACCTTGCTCTTGATGTACACCAAAATTTCGAACAACTTCTTTCAATAGAGCGACTTCAGAGTACTCCTGAGAAACACAGATCCATGCTCGGTTGCTAAATGCTCCTTTTATTTTTTGGTCATTATATATTTTCTGAGCCAGAGTTGTCTTCCCAACCCCTCCTGTTCCAGTAATACCAACCTTGTACGCCTTCTTTTTCTTCTGTGGAAGCACCAGTTCAACCAACCTTGTGCAAGCATGTAAAGTTTCCTTTCCCACAAGATTAGGCTCCACAAGGTGGCAAGTTCTCATCTGCTTCACCAGTGGAGCTTCCGCTTTATGCTGCATAGTGCATACTCTGGAGCTTTAAAAATCTTGCCCCCAACTCTGAAATCTTCTCAGGTTCTCCATTGAAATCTCTGATTTTTATGGCAACATCATGACGTTTCTTACAATTGGGAATGCATGTGAAAAATGAAATTCCACCACATTTGGTTACCTTCGTTGATGAAGAATTATGTTCAGCTAGTAACTTGCCTCCTTCAAATCTCACCAAGTCGATAATGTCATCAGCATAATACATAGCATCTTTCAGCTCACCAAGCCAATTGTTGACTGCTGATTCTTCTGTCCTCCTTTCTTCAGCATCATTGAGAAAGCATTGTATTTGAGTCATTGTTCGCTGCAGGTCTCTAAGACCTTTATTTACCCCTAGAATAAGAACCGCCTCTTCTGTAATTATTTCTTGCAATCTTTTGGCACATGATCCAACAAGAGATCCCAGTATGGCTGCCATCAGACAAACTTGATGAGTTTAATCCACCAATTTACAAATGAATTTCTCTGGAAGTGTTGGCAAATTTGCAGGCTGGCAACAAATACACAACATGTGTTAATACGGTTCAAAAGGTAGACAATGTTCACTAAATTCATTCCTCAAAAAGAAAGTTAACTAAATTCATATCCTTGTAACTGAAAGTCAGAGACAATGACATTGGTTTGCTGTTTAAATCCTGAATAAAATAGTCTACAGGAGGCTGGAGCTACGGAACTTCAATAATGGCTCTAGTGCGCTTTGCACAGCATGCATGTCAGTACAAGTTCTGAACAATGGGACCAGCCAATCACTTAGGCTTTTGTACTGTATAGTATAGTAGCGTAAGTAGGAACGTTATTAATGCATGCATAATGCAAATAGACAGAGTAATTTGATCATAAATCAATATACTCAACTCCACAGGAAAGGTGCAAGGAAAAAAAAATCTGCATCCATGTTTGATAAATTCAACAGTAGCGTGTACCCGCTTTTGCTATTTTAGCTTTTACTATTGAAGTATCAACCCTTGACTTAGCATTGTGTCCTTCTGTTCTATATCATTTCTTTTAGTCCATAAGTTACTATGATTCCTTCCGTATGTTTTACTAAACCTCAAGTAATATTCAATTAGTTCAACCATCATGAGATTTCTAGCAGTTCAATCTTTATCTGGTTATCCATCTTAAAGACAAATAACTCTAATTAATTTTTTTACCTGTTCATTAACCAGTTAACTTGCGATTAATCCTTACTCGTAGGGTCACCGAGTAGGCAATAAACTGATAAATCATCCAATTAATTGATTAAATGGCTAATTAACTTGCCAATTAGCCTATTAATCCCCTACTCGCCAGCCAACCGAGCAGCTACCAGTTAGCGATTTCCTCAACAATGATTTTTTCTCACGGTAGCATAGGAGTCACGATAACACATTTCATTTCATTGTAGTAATACCATGGAAAGAAAGATGGAAGATCTGGAATACAGTACAAATATTACCTTTGAAACCAACCTTAAAGCAAGAAATAAATAGTTGGTAACACCAGCCGATAAACACGGAAGCAGATTGCTCCAGTGGTCAACCAATCACCACTTTAAGATCTCGATCAACCCATGACTACTTAAGATCTCGATGGCCGAACCCAAGGAAGATGGAAGGTAATTGGTTGACTAGACTGACATATAGAAGAGATAGCAGAGGATTGTCAGCAAATAACCAAAGGAAGCCGCACTGCAACACATATAGAAGGGGAAAAAGAGAAGGTGAAGTATGCTTCCCTTGAAAGAAAACTGCTTCAATGAATACAACAAAAAGTAACACTAAATAGAGCTATCTGAACTAGAGAAAATACCTGAATAAGTTAAATTGATTAGACTGCTGCAGCAGAACAGGATGTGTTCGAATGAATTGTTCCCTCCCAACAGGATATCTTTGCTAAGCAGTCCAACAAAAATAAGAACAGGCTCACCAATCATGAAACGAGTCTGCGCGATCAGCAGGTGCAAGTAAGGTATGAGTTCAGAAAGGTTAAGATAAGAAGAAGGATGAAATGTCTACTCTATTGATTAAAGGATATGCTTACTAGATATCAAGAGAATGGATGCAGAAATGAGCAGAATGTTGAGAACTGAATGGACGCAGTGAAATGGTTGAAAACTGAAGAGTATTTTCCTACTGAAGCATCGGCTTCTTCCCCGCGAAAGATAAGAAGAACCATTTTCTTATATCACACTAACAGTGAGGGGAGCTTGCATAAACTATGTCCACTAGATAGCACAGTCCAAAAAGTCTGTTCTGTAGTATTATTTTTACTATAGGATGGCATTGGCTCTGATGCAACCATTCATTAATAAGCAAGCCTGCAGCTTGCTTACTGGCCGTGATGGATGATGATGCACAGAACCAGCAAGCAGGTAAGACTCTGATCTGTTTACCTCGTCAAGATTCAATCAGCAAATGTGAAACCTGGTGCATGTGTCAGCTTGAGATTTGTCTCTGAGAAATAATAGGCAAGTTGCACAATTAAAAAAATCCTGGGAATACATTAATTGATGCAATTTAATATGCAAATGAGGACAAAAACAGGCCATCAACTAATAAACCAGCAATGATCAGGCATGATTAAGAAAGCTGGTTTTGTTCAGATGTCGTGATTGCTTGTATACAGTTAATCAAAAGACTGACTCATATGATTTGTACATGCCCTACACATTAGTCAGAACTAAAGGCAGGCGAGACACATGATGGTTAGTGACTTACTGACGGGTACGAAATATTTGCTACAATAAGTGAGCTAGGTTTTTTCCTTACGAAGAAAGGGTGAGATCTGTTAAATCAAAGTAGGGTTACAATCATCATCAATGAGACGCAAACAAGTACATAAGCTGACAGAAGAACATAGTTTGTCAATATTCTTAGATACAATGCATGGTTCAAAACACGATCTCAATCAAACCAAATTATACTCCCTCCGCCCAGAAATAACTGTCGCTCAACGGATGTATCTAGCACTGAAATACGTCTAGATACATCCGTTTAAGCGACAGTTATTTCTGGACGGAGGTATACCTACATATACAGTCTGAGATATTTGGTTCAGTCGCATCATATGAACAGTACTATTTGAAAAAGATGACTAGATATATTTGGTCACAAAATTTGCATACAAAAAAGACAAGTAGTATTATCAACAACTGTTAGTATCATAGAATAATTACGAACAAAAAAGACAAGTAGTATTATCTAGATCCATAGCCAGAAAAGGTAAATTTGCCTATTACATAAGCACAAATTGTAGCAAATTTGGTTATATCACTGGTAACAAAATATCCTTTTCCCACGGAGGAAAAAATATCTTAACTGAAACCTTAACACTAGTGCACAGACCATGTTAACTTACAAAACAAGACAAATCCGTTGCTGACATCTTTTTTCCATAGAAGCATCAATGCAGTTCCAAATAGGTCAAGGCTTATCAATATTATTCAAGTAATACCAAGTAAACCATGTATATTTTCTTGTTATATCATTGCACGCTCACATCATCCTTCCATCCAACGACCTGTTTCAACTTGAACACTGGACAGCATTGCATACAGATTTTCCGCTGCTGTTCTATGTTCATGTACATCTTGTCTCAGATTGTACATACACGTATGGCTAGGTCCACTAGAACAAATGGCTATTGCAGAACTTCAACTCAAAAACAACATACCAAAACTGGACGACATTGGCCACCGGGGTTTCTGATCTGGAGGAAGCATGATCTGGCAAGCGATTTATTCCTGTATTACGGCAGCTGGCACAGCTACAAACCAGAATCATCATCCTCAGAGCAGGTCTATCTTCATGGGAAAGTCTAGCCTGATAATGAGATGGGGAGGGAACTGGGGAAGGATCAAAGATAAAGGCATCCATACATTGGTTTCCAACCATGCTAGTCCCAAAAACACTATGCCACACGTGCTTCACTGCTTCCAAAATCTCACTTTCATGTCAACCCAATCCATCTCTTGAAATGTATTGCTGCTTCTCTCCTTATCAGTTGAGCTTCTGTTTGCACCTTAGGAGCCTTACCTTTGTACAATGTTCTATGATATTTAAGCCACAGGGACTTGTACTTGTATTTATCTATAAACATCTCGCACTTTTCCATCAATTCTATAACTTCCATTGCTCGAAGGAAGAAACCACCTCTCACAAAGCAATACAACAGAGAGTCCAACAGTTCCTGATCAAATTTCATCGAGTTGGAGTTGGCCAGAACTTTCATTTCGCCCCACAAATCTGTCACCTCCACATACTTGCCACCAACAGCAGCATAAGCAGTTACTAAACAATGGAAAGTTTGTGCATTTGGCGTGTGGCCTAAAACACGCATCTTGCTCAGTGCTTTGTGAGCATCGTGCATTAATCTCTTCTTACAGAAAAAATGTATAACATTGTTCCAGTCATGAAGGGCATGATTAACTGTATGGCCACTTTTGACTTCTTCCACTAGCTTAGCCGTCAAAGCAGCTTCATTGCTATCACAGCTTTGTACTAGCATCTCAAACTCCCTGTTAACAGATTTTTGAATGTTTGAGCTCTTCATCTCTTTAAAAAGATGGAGAGCGCCTGTGGTGTTATTGTGATGTGCCCTGGATTGTATCAAATCTTCGTAGCAGCTTGAATCAAGCTGGATTCCTGCCTGTTGAGCATCCTTCAAAAGTGCAGTTATATCATCTTCATGATTCTCCTCTTTGCAGTAAGCTTTTAGGAGTGACGAATAAATGGAAGAACCAACTCTAACTCCAGAAAATCTCATCTCGTCAAGAAGGTCATGTGCTTGCTCTAATAACCCAAGAGAAATGCATGCATTTATCACTTGTACAACAAAGGAGCTCTCAACAGACACAGGTGAATCCTCTTTGCTTGCCTTCACAAGAAACGATGCCAATGCACTGATCTTATCTGCTTCCAAGAAAGCTTTGACTAGTTTGGCATACATTGTTTCAGTTGGATGGAGGACACCATGTTCAGATTTTACCAGTCCAACCTGTTCCTGCAGCTTATCTGATAATAGCTTGTGTAATTCTCTCGCCTCTAATTCAAACCTTGCAAAGCTCTTATCTTTGAAGAATGAAGAGTAATTTTGCATTTGGCGATCAGTAGACAGAGGTTTATCTGGGGAACCTGAATTTTCGGGGCCCGTTTTCTCATAAGGAAGATACAATTTGTTAGATTCGACTGCTTCAAGAACTGCTTTAGCTGCTTCTAGTGACCGCTTTGCGTTGTTACCCTTTTTAAGCATATCCAGTACCATATCCACAGCAGAATCCAAATCCCCGAATTTCAAATGGCAGGAGAGCAGGCAATCATAGTACTGCCTGAACTCTGATTCACTGAGACCACAGGCCTCATCTACATGCCTCTTCAACTTCTGAATCTCATCTTTGTGTCCATTCTTTTCATATATGCGAGCCATGACAACCAACAAGCTGGCTTCAGGTTTCACCCCTATCCTGGGCATTAATTCGAGAAGCTGCTCCGCCTTTTTAGTAGTACCAAACAGGAGGGATGCAGTCAGAACAATGCTGAAGGTAAATGAATTGGGCTTCATTGCTAGCAGTGGACGGTTGCTCTTCTTCCGCGGATCAACTCTATTGTTCTGGAAAAGGTATCCGATCTCCATTACCATGTCGGCAGCAAGAAATGAGCCGGTTGCAGTCTGACACATGTGTGCTATAATTGCAGACCATGCTGCAACGGGTGGGTATGCTTCAATCTTCACCAGCTTCCTCACAACATTTACAGCAAGATAAGGAAGAGTGCACCGTGCAAGAATAAGGGACAGGTAAATCAGGGCCTCCTTCTCCAGCAGTTCATGCCTCTCTTGAAATGCGCGATCAACCACATTGTATGACTGGTTAAGCCTGTGAGTGTCACAGGTCGCCGCGAAGCCAGTGATGAGCTTGCTCAGAACAGACTTTCTCGGGAGCCCGTCCATGTGAAGGTGCTTCTCGTAGGCCCTCCACGCATCATCGAACCTCTGCTGGTCGGTCCCAGTTTCTATCTCCGATGCTAGCAGAGACGAGTCCCGGGCTTGGACGAGAACCGTTTCGGTAGCGGTGGAGAAGCAAGCGCCACGAGTAACGACATGCGATTTCCGGTTCGAGAATCCGGTATCTTTGTCACCGGTGCACTTGATAGCATCATGATACTTGTGGTCCAAGCTGTGAGAGGCAATACAGGGTGGCGGACAGGCGAGGAGCGCAAATACGGCACGGCCTGAACGCGGCCTTGCAGTACAGATTCTTGCAAGGCGGAGCATCTGCGTGTTGCCTGCCATGGATGGATAAATCAAATCAACGCGGTCTTGTACTACAGATTCAGCAAACGGCGGCGGTAACACTGAAGATTGTATTGGGGGAAATCAGCTCCCAAGATTGGGGATGTACCTCGGTTTGGCTACACGAAGAGTGGAAGCCGACACAGGCCGCAGCTGAGCGCCGCCTAATAATCCCCTCCCCGGCGGCATCCCTGGCCTCTGCTTCCTCCGCTCTCCATCCTCGGCGCCTGCCGAGCCGAGAGAGCAGTCGCGACAGAGATGGGGGCGGGCGACGGGCGACGGCGGCAATGGAGGCGCGGCGGCGTGTGGCGGGAGGGGGAGCACCGCAGCGGGTGGGAGTGGCGGCGGCGGGGAAGGGGGGCGAGCTCCGGGTAGGAGAGCGCCGGCGGCGGCGGGAGCGGCAGGCCTTGTTGGATTTGTTGGGCCTTGGGGCGAAACAAGTCCACGTAACCAGCCCAGGTCGTAAAAAAAATGCCCAGGTTCTGTACGTTGACCTGGCACGGTTGACAGTACCACGTCCGCCCAATTCCTCCCTTCCCCCTAAGAGCAACTCCAACTCCAGCGCTCAAGATGGACCGTCTCCTCCTCTAGTGCCGTGGACAGGAGGCGCGCTCACTCACTCACGGTATTGGCCGGTCCACGTGTAGGCCTCCTCCGGCCAAGTGGGTGGAGGCAGAGAGCGCTTCCGCGTCGGCTCCGCTCCGGCTTGGGCTCGACGGGCGACGGCGGTGGCAGAGGCGGGACGAAGAGCGGTGTGTGGACGGAGTCCCCCGCTGCCGACAAGGCAAGGGCTTACTCCAGACCATCCCAGTGCGCGTCCTCCTCGAGCCGGCTAGCCTCCTACGCGTGCTGCAGGGCCTCCTCGAGGGCGGCTTGGTACTCCGCCTCCATTTCCTCCGGCTCTACCCGCGGGGGTGACAGTTGAAACGGTGGCGAGATGGCATCGACGCCGACCCATCGTTGCTCCTCGTGTTCGAGGGCAAACCAAGTCTCCCAGTTGGGAGAGTCAGCGGCGTACTCGGGCATCCGTCGCTACTCTGGCGTGAGCTGCGCCCAGCGCCTACGCACCCCCTCGTCGTGCGCCCGCTGGGATTCGCAGAACCGCCGGCATCGGGATCTGCTGCGGATCCAGGTGCCAGCGGTGCGGCAACGTGACGTCGGGGTAGGGCAGCGACTGCCTGTACTCCCAGTGCTACTACGCTTGGTGCACCGGGATGTGCAAACGCCGGCGACCTGGGCGGAAACACGCCGGCGGCGGCGGAGGAGCACGGGAGGATGAGGTGCCGGGGGTGCCATTGCCCTTGCCCTTCCCGCTGCTTCTGCCGAAGAGGCCCATTGCTTTGCTAGGGTTTTGGTGGCGTCGCCGACGAGGAAGCACAAGGGGGTGATGGGAGGGCAGATGTGGATGGAAGTGGATGAGGCCGGCCCCCGCCGCACGCGTGGTTAAAAAATGACGCGTCCACTCGCTGACTAGCGGGCCCGCTGTCGGTGGCCGTCATAAATTAAACGACGAGCGGTAGTTGGGGCCTACAAGTGGGGCCGCGGCGGACACTCAGGAGACGCGCGGCGCGTCCGCTTCGCCTCCGCGCCGATGCATTTCAGACGCAGTTTTGGACCGAAAATGAGTCGATGGCGTCCGCATTTGGGTTTAGGCCAACACGTTGGGCCTTCACTTTTGTCCGTGCCAACCCAAACAGATGCAGGCAAACAAAATAGATCATCTCATTGAAGTTACTCTAACATTTGTCTGCCATCGTCCTACATACAGCGTCGCTCATATCCTTGCGCCCGTCTGAGCGTTGTGTAGTCAAAATGCGTGATTTCTGCTTGTTGTATGTTGTTTTTGTAAAAATAAAATAAATCGTCATTGCGCTGTGCCACCTCGACCCCAGCACGATGGTCCCGCGCAAACGACACGGTGATGAGCTATTAGTCGCCCTTGATTTATATCTATACTACTTCTATATCTATATCTATACTACTATTAAAAGGGCAAACATAATTTTGTCTAAAGCCACACAACAAACTGTACACAGGATAACTCAGACCCTCCGATCAAATCAAATTAAACACATCCAACTGACCATATTACATCAATAATCTGCCATCTCAATCAACGTCTGAGATCAAATGTTCTGCCTGGCAGACATCGCCACGCGCTCTGCGTCCATAGATCCCCGCGGCGTCGCCCGCAACTCCCTAATTACCGGATCGATTTCACCTGATAAGGAAGAACGAATCAGCAGCAAACCTCGTGTCGCTGCTCCTTCCCCTCCACCCGTGCGCTTCCCCCCATCCACCCCACCCTCGGTCACCGCCTGTGCTCCTGCAAGCCGTCGCTGGCCTCCATTCAGTCGTACCCAACTGTTGGGGAACGTAGCAGAAATTCAAAATTTTCCTACGTGTCACCAAGATCTATCTATGGAGAAACCAGCAACGAGGGGAAGGAGAGTGCATCTACATACCCTTGTAGATCGCTAAGCGGAAGCGTTCAAGTGAACGGGGTTGATGGAGTCGTACTCGTCGTGATTCAGATCACCGATGATCCTAGTGCCGAACGGACGGCACCTCCGCGTTCAACACACGTACAGCTCGATGATGTCTCCCACGCCTTGATCCAGCAAGGAGAGAGGGAGAGGTTGAGGAAGACTCCATCCAGCAGCAGCACAACGGCGTGGTGGTGATGGAGGAGCGTGGCAATCCTGCAGGGCTTCGCCAAGCACCTACGGGAGAGGAGGAGGTGTCACGGGAGGGAGGGAGGCACCAAGGGCTCAGGTATGGATGCCCTCCCTCCCCTCCACTATATATAGGGGCAGGGGAGAGGGGGGAGGCGCAGCCTTGCCCCTTCCTCCAAGGAAGGGGTGCGGCTAAGAGGGGGGGAGGAGTCCATCCTCCCCAAGGCACCTCGGAGGTGCCTTCCCCTTTTAGGACTCTCCCCTTTTTTCTATATCTTGGCGCATGGGCCTCTAGGGGCTGGTGCCCTTGGCCCATGTAGGCCAAGGCGCACCCCCTACAGCCCATGTGGCCCCCCGGGGCAGGTGGCCCCACCCGGTGGGCCCCCGGGACCCTTCCGGTGGTCCCGGTACAATACCGATGACCCCGAAACTTGTCCCGATGGCCGAAACAGGACTTCCTATATATAAATCTTTACCTCCGGACCATTCCGGAACTCCTCGTGACGTCCGGGATCTCATCCGAGACTCCGAACAACATTCGGTAACCACATACAAACTTCCTTTATAACCCTAGCGTCATCGAACCTTAAGTGTGTAGACCCTACGGGTTCGGGAGACATGTAGTCATGACCGAGATGTTCTCCGGTCAATAACCAACAGCGGGATCTGGATACCCATGTTGGCTCCCACATGTTCCACGATGATCTCATCGGATGAACCACGATGTCAAGGACTCAATCAATCCCGTATACAATTCCCTTTGTCTAGCGGTATGGTACTTGCCCGAGATTCGATCGTCGGTATACCGATACCTTGTTCAATCTCGTTACCGGCAAGTCTCTTTACTCGTTCCGTAACACATCATCCCGTGATCAACCCCTTGGTCACATTGTGCATATTATGATGATGTCCTACCAAGTGGGCCCAGAGATACCTCTCCGTTTACACGGAGTGACAAAATCCCAATCTCGATTCGTGCCAACCCAACAGACACTTTCAGAGATACCCGTAGTGTACCTTTATAGCCACCCAGTTACGTTGTGATGTTTGGCACACCCAAAGCACTCCTACGGTATCCGGGAGTTGCACAATCTCATGGTCTAAGGAAATGATACTTGACATTAGAAAAGCTTTAGCATACGAACTACATGATCTTGTGCTAGGCTTAGGATTGGGTCTTGTCCATCACATCATTCTCCTAATGATATGATCCCGTTATCAACGACATCCAATGTCCATGGTCAGGAAACCGAAACCATCTATTGATTAACGAGCTAGTCAACTAGAGGCTTACTAGGGACATGGTGTTGTCTATGTATCCACACATGTATCTGAGTTTCCTATCAATACAATTCTAGCATGGATAATAAACGATTATCATGAACAAGGAAATATAATAATAATCAATTTATTATTGCCTCTAGGGAATATTTCCAACAGTCTCCCACTTGCACTAGAGTCAATAATCTAGTTCACATCGATATGTGATTAACACTCAAGGTCACATCCCCATGTGACTAACATCCAAAGAGTTTACTAGAGTCAATAATCTAGTTCACATTTACCATGTGATTAACACTCGATGAGTTTTGGGTTTGATCATGTTATGCTTGTGAGAGAGGTTATAGTCAACGGGTCTGAACCTTTCAGATCCGCGTGTGCTTTACAAATCTCTATGTCATCTCCTAGATGCAGCTACCACGTTCTATTTGGAGCTATTCCAAATAAATGTTCTACTTGGAGCTATTCTAAATTGTTGCTCCATTATACGTATCCGGTATCTCTACTCAGAGCTATCCGGATAGGTGTTAAGCTTGCATCGACGTAACCCTTTACGACGAACCCCTTTACCACCTCCATAATCGAGAAAATTCCTTAGTCCACTAGTTACTAAGGATAACTTTGACCGCTGTCCCGTGATCCATTCTTGGATCACTCTTGTACCCCTTCACTGACTCATGGTAAAGCACACTTCAGGTGCGGTACACAGCATAGCATACTGTAGAGCCTATGTCTTAAGCATAGGGGACGACCTTCGTTCCTTTCTCTCTATTCTGCCATGGTCGAGCTTTAAGTCTTAACTTCATACCTTACAACTCAGGCAAGAACTCCTTCTTTGACTGATCCATCTTGAACACCTTCAAGATCACGTCAAGGCATGTGCTCATTTGAAAGTACTATTAAGCGTTTTGATCTATCCTTATAGATCTTGATGCTCAATGTTCAAGTAGCTTAATCCAGGTTTTCCATTGAAAACACTTTCCAAATAACCCTATATGCTTTCCAGAAATTCTACGTCATTTCTGA